AGTGCAATCAAAACAGAGAGAAAACTAGAGTTCCTGCCATTCATTGGTAAGATTAAACCAAATCCAACATCCAACCACAGCCTACATTACAAGGTAAAATCTGAACCAGTGTTTTGAAAATGGATCCGGAGGTCAAACTAGGTTCCTGGTATGAGCTGTTTAATTGGTAAAATCATTCAAACCACATGTTGAATTAAATATGAATAAATATAATAATATTATGCGATAGCTTTCCACGTCACCTGCAGTTGTTCAACGGGTTTGATATCTTCTCAACGATGGAAAGGATGCAGCTTCGAATTCTTGCTGTTAAAATGTAATTGCAATGTTTTTAACTTTTTACTTATAGTATTTTAATAAGTTTTTTTACATTTAAAGTCTTTAAAATTTTAATTTTTAAATATAAATTAATACTGCTTTTAATCTCATTTAATAATCTTATAATATTTAATTAATTCCATTAAGTATTCACTAAGCTAATCATTATAATCATTTTATTATATATTTGATTTGATTAATCTTTTTTTTTTTTTGTTTTTTATTTGTAAAACGGGTTGGGTTGACCCAATACAAAACACAACCCATGCATCTAAATGGTTTAAAACAGATTAAAAACCTGGTTAAATTTAACAAATAGTCTATTAACTATATAGTTTATTTTAGTTTAGTTTAGAAATAATTTTTTCTTTTAAAATGATTTATAAATTATCAATTTTATCTCAAAATGATCTACTTGACAAACATACCATTAACTAGACTAACGAAATGTTTGTCTACACATGTAAACAACTTGTCTCCCAAACTTTTGAAAAATGTTAAATATAGCATATATTTTTGTTTTCTGCAACATTTTGTTTTTAAAATTTAAATTCTATGTCAAATGTAATAATTAATAAGACAATAATTTTAATTTACAATAATCAATATTACAATTTAAATTTTATTATTTCTTAAAAAACTTAATATCATTATTAAATTACATATTTTTCACTAATTTATATA